ATAGATTTATTAAAAAGACCGATTTAGCAGTCAAGGACTGAATTACATCGGTTTACAAGATTAAAAGGATTAAAATACAAAATACAATCAGATTAAGAATTATTGTAGTAATAATTACATGGTTAATTATATTAAGTTTTACTAATGTTAAAAGCTTTACTTCCAGCAATTATGAAACTGTTTGCATATCTATTAGTTCTACACCTAGGTATTGATAGTTTGTTATTACCACCCCGAAGGGAATATTGTGTATCCCGATTGGAAGGGACAAGGGAATGTAACTTGTGTGCTTCGTCAGTACGCATTCGTTCAAAAAATCTCTTACAGATCGTCTCTCTCCGTATGAATAATGACACCACACCGACGCGGTCCATTGCAATATCATAACAACAATCTGGGAAGATTATTCGTAGAGCTCTGCGTTGGATCCTTTCGATCTGATCACTTAAATACTGGGGCAAACTGTGATGCCATACTTCGCACGAGTATTCTAAAATTGGTCTAATGCATGTATTAAACACTCGCACTAACTTGCTTGATGGAATGGAAGATCTCTTTAATAATCGTAGAGCATGCAGACGCTTCGCAGCTTTCTTACAAATGAAATCAACATGAAGAACCCACTTGAGGTCTTCGGAGATGATTAATCCGAGTAATTTAGCATGTGACACGACAGAAATGTTACAGCCATCAATGGTAAGTGGAGGAAGTGCTTCGGTATCATAAGTCGAAAAACACACTCGAATTTCCTTGGTTTTAGTGGGATTCAATTTCATATTGTTTTTGGCCACCCAACTGGAGCATTCACTAATTTGTGCCGGTAAGACTGAAGCAGACGATTGGGCGCTCGTAATTATTTCCCATAAAGTAGTGTCGTCTACGAATTTAACAGAATCGTCAGAGACCTTCAGGTCGTTCACCATAATTAAAAAGAGCAAGGGGCCAAGTTTGGTTCCCTGTGGGACACCACCATTGATTGGCCTCCAACAAGAATAATTCGGGCCGATTCTTGTACGCTGTCTTCTGTCTGTGAGAAAGTTGGCGATCCAATTAATTAATAAGGACAGGATGTATGCCCATATTTATCAATTTTTGAAGTAAGATGTTGAAGTCAATCCGGTCAAATGCTTTTGAGAAGTCCAACGTACAGATTCAAGGACAGGTGCCGGGTGTGTCCATGGCTTCGTACCATTTATGGAACATATATAATAATGCCATTGTGGAACTTGATCTTTTAAGCGCACCAAATTGAAGGTTATCAATTTGACCGCTAACTGACCGTAAAAGTCAGCTATGAGGGAATGACTCTAAGATCTTGCTTACAATTGGCGTAAGAGAGATCGGTCTAAAATCGGAATCAATATTTCAGGGCAGGTGACGATTTTGGCACAGGAGACACATTGGTGGATTTCCACAACAACGGGATGTTTCCTTCTTGGATAGAAGCATTGAAAATGGATGCTAATGGGCGGGATAGAGAGGCAAGTTCTCACGGAGGAGCCAAGGAGAAATCTCATCTGGACCTGCCGTAAAATCTTGAACGAGCTCTCTTACAAAGCATATTTACTTTGTTTCTGTAGAGATGGAACATGATATTGTTTTCGCTATTCCAAGCTGCTTGACGTTTGGAGATTAATCTTTTGATCTCAGATGTCACCCAGGGCTTATCGCTACTATCCGATTTTATACGTTTCATTGGAAGGTACTGGTCGACAATGCCATTAACAATGAATGAAAAGTAATGAAACTTATCGTTGCAAGAGTCCATTCTATACAGGGGAGACCAGTTTATACTTGACAAAGCCTCGAAGACTAACTTCCGATTAGGGGAACGCGTGTCTCTGACCATTCGGGTACTCCGGGAGTTCATACATTGCTTCAGCGGTTTTATCAACACTCAGTTATGGTCAGAGAAACCGACAGGTGGGAGAATCTCTGGAACGTTATAAAATTTGGACGCATTTGTAAATATTTTGTCTAAGATGTTGGATCCTCTTGTTGCATGCTTAACAACCTGTTTAAGGGAAAACGAGTTACATAGTTGACTGTGCCTAAATTGGTTAAAATCGCCTGCAATGATGATAGCTGACGCAGGATAGGATGTTAATGCACTGTCGAGGGACTCAATAAGGTGTGTTAACAGGGCCCTATCGTCGCTTTTCGGTGGATGGTAAATTGCGACTAAAATGATAGAATTAATTCCACGTGGTAGTCGACTTGGTTTTATTAGGAGCCATA